AGACAAGTCTAATAAAAGCACCACCGACTGTTTCGAATCCCACCCAAAACAAGTAACTCCAATGTTTGTCTAGAGATTTGAGGAAAAAGAGATATTGAGTCTCAATTCTCTTTCAACGTTTTTGGAGTTTGCGTACTTTTACTGTTGCATATATAGGAAAGTTGAATCTCTATTTTTTTTCTTGCTATGAATCAGTGAATTATTCAATATTTATTTATTTTTTCTGCAATTCTTGTTTTGCAGTAGATTTAGAGATGATATTAGAGTGTACTTACAAAATCCAGTCCCTGTAAGATAACATCCGAAATAGTATAGTTTCTTCCAAAAGATCACCAGTGTCTTATCGGGTGATATTTGTGCTAATCATGGTTTCGTTTTCTTTTCTTTTTTTTTCCACTGATACTTTTGGCCTGAATTATTTAGGTTCTTTCTGCAGAAATCGCAACATTCTAATTTGAACCATCTTTTCTCTTGGTCTTCCTAGTTTCTTTACATGTGGTTTCATGTGAAGAACAAAACAAGATTGGTGTACTATATTCTTTTGTTTATTTTTCTAGGTAGCATGATCCACGAGAAAGTTCATATAAAGTCAGCTAAACATGTTACCTTCCAAATAATAGTAATGCTGCTAGAAATCCTTTTAGGTAGTGAATAGAACCTTTACAGCCAAAAGTGTATGTGGATTCTCTCTCTCATGCACACACACACGAGAATTTCTTTCCAAGTTATTGTCCACTTCCCTTGTGTTCAGGTTCCTCAAGTAGTTTATTAATATCCTCTCAGCTACGATTTATTGTTTCTCCCTGTTCAATCTTTTGATGGAGGTCTCCTGCCCCTGCAGTAAGAGTTGATCTGTTTTTCCTGCTTTGGCCACTAGGGGAAATGTAGTTATTCTTTCTACTTTAAAGGAAAAAGGGCTAGGCTGTAAAGGATCTAACCTGCCGATTCTTCGCATAAGATTTTTTTGGTATGAAATGCATGCTGCACCTAAGAATAGGAAAAAAGATTATAGATATTAGAATTTAAATTTAATATTATCTTTTCAAGATAATTATATGAATCAATCAAATTAATAAACTGAGTCAAGTACCAAGTTTTTGTTCTTTTGAACTGTGAGCGTAATCTGATATAGTCAAAGTTCGTCTTGAATTGATCACGAGTAATTATAACTTAACTATAACCACAGAGTATCAAAATTTATGATGTAGAAGTTTCATTTAATGAACAATAGCATCCAAGGATTGAAAGTGCTAATCTGATAAATAATCACACAACTGAAGAGAATTTCTCATATCATGGAATGATAAAATTTTGAATAAAATGAGACAATAGTATCATCATAAATTAAATTTTGTGAAAAAAAAAAAAAAAAGGAGAATGCATACAGCAAAATTTCATCTAGATCTCAAGTATTTAGTCATTAGGAAAGATTTAGAAGTCTGCTGCTTATAATACCATGACTTCTGATATTTAATATTTGTTTGGGAAATGTGTCAAATGTACTATTGTACTAGGTTAAGATTTCATATTTATCACTTTATTTTTTATACAAATTTACCATTTTATAATTTTTTAATGCAATTCTAATCACATATAAAAAGAACTTCTAAGCATTATTTTTACGTTTCTAAGTACCGAATGCCATTTTGGTAGATTTGATAATTTAATATTTATTATTTAATATTTAATATGTATAAAATATTAAAATTAAATATGAATAATCTCGTGCATATTTGATTTTTGGATTATTACATTTTTTTTATTCAAATACCTAAATTTTATTTTCGTATATAAAATTATTCAAACTTTTTAACACCATAAGATAAGATTGATGTGATATTTAAATATTAATATGAATTATACGTGATTATCATATGATTTAAGATGTGGTATTGTATGCTATTTTTAAAAAATAAAAAAATATTTTTAAAATAAAATTTTTTTAAAAAATTTTTAATTTTTAAATGTTATACATAATAATTATATCACTGTCACATAATAGTTACATGTCATCTACATCAAAATTTAAAAGCCACATTAGTATTATCTAATGGTATTAAGAGAATGAAATAATTTGATATACAAAAATAAAATTTAAGTATGTAATTAAAAAATTTTTTAGTTTAAATATCACATTAAAAAAATTACAATAGTTCAAATAGGCATCATCCCATGAAGAATATACAAACTTGATCACAATTAATTTTTTGTTGCATCCGACCAAACTGCAAATATTATCTTTATTTCCCATTTTACAAACTATTCTGACTCCCCTTTCTACTGTAAAATTTCTGATTTTATCCCTCATTGAAATTTGGGTATAATCTTGTGGGATTATATTTATTTTCTAATAATTTTTTTCCCAGGAAACAAATGATAACCTGGAGGATGCAAGTAACGGGTTGATTTTAAAAGATGAGAAAGTAGTTTTTGGGTTTTTTTTTTTTTTTTTCATGAAGATTTTGCTTATTTTCTTCCCTAATTTCTTTCTTTTTTTTTTTTTTTAAAAAAAAAACTTAAAGTAATTAGGTTTTTTCTGATAAAAAAAAAAAGATTTTAACGACAAAACGATTTAGCGGCATGTGCAATGTACTCTTGTCATGAAATTCTGTTTTGAATCAATTTGAAAAAGTTAATTTTATATTAAATTAATTAAAAGATATATTTTTAATTAAAAAAATGCTCATAGGTTAAGTATTTTGTCTTAATATAATAGCATCATTTACTATTTTGTTTAAAGAGTTAGTCTTTTTTATGTAAAAAATTACTTTTGAAAAATAATTATTGTATTTTTTATATTTATTTGATAAAAAATTAAGTAATTAATCAACAAAAAATGATTTAAGAATAAATAAAAAATAAAGTCACTTTTTTGAAATTTGTTTTCTCCTTAAGAAAAAGATAAATTTTGGTAAAAGAGTTGTCTATATGGGTAGGATTGCTTATCAAGCTTGTAAATATAATTTTATTTAAGTAAGATCTTAAACATGAATTTTTTCAAACTTATACGTCTTGACTCAAAATATTATTATATTAATAAAATTATTTTTATTTAATTTTTTGTAAAATAATTAAACTATTAATATTAAAAATCTTTTAATATTTTAATTAAAAATATATTTTTATAATTATACTCACTTAAGATATTCAGTTTGACATTTTAAGTTTAAATTTGATTTAATTCGATATAAAATATTATTATTTTAATAAATATATAATATTAAAAGTCATTTAATAATTTAGTTTTAAATATTTCTATTTGGTATATTATTAAACATAAATATTTTTAATATTTTTAACAATAAATAATATTATAATATTATTTAATAATGAATATTAAATATTAAATAATATTTTTATTACTTAATAATTAATATAAAGCAATGTATTATAATATTATTATTATCACAAAATGAATATTTTTAATAATTTATTATTATTTTAAATTATTTATTAATATACTTATATTATTATTTTAATAATAAATATAAATAAATAATATTTTTCTTATTATTTAATAATAAATACTTTCAATATAAAATATAACTATTTAAATAAATATTGCTATTTTATTATTGTATTAATAAAAATATTATTTTAAGAATAGTAATATTATTTTAAATATTTTAAAATACTAATATAAATAATAAGTAGCTTTGTTTTAGAAGTTTTTATATTAATATATTATTTTAATATTAAACATTTTTATTAAAATATAATTTTTTGATATTAATAAATTTAATATTAAATAATTTCAATAGATTTTTATCATATATAATTTTTAGTACTTTAATAATTATATCAATATTATTTAAAAAATAAAATTTTAAAAAAAAATCAATCTTTTGTTTGACTCTACCAATAATAAAAAATCTTTACTTTTTCAAAAAATTATAAACATTTTAAAAAATATATTTTTCCGAAGTTAATTTCCTCCAAGGGAACATAATTGATTTATAATCTTCACATGTTACTCTGACTCAGTTATTTTATTTGAGAAATGAGAATTCGAAACAGTCGACCTCCATTTCCTCCTTCACTATCAGATCCTACATCAACGTCTACTCGCCCCCATCGCCAAATAGTCTGTACTTTGATGACCGTTTCATGGTTCAAGAAACCAATTGCCAAATTGGATGGTCTTGCTACCCATTGAAAAATTAAAATGCTGCACCATGCCGCCAAGTTACTGAAGAAGAACCATGTGGTTAGTTGAAGAAGGTGACAACTGTTGAAATCAGACCAATAAATTGACCAGAAAAGCATAAAGGAAAAAGCTTTTGCATGCAGGAGACATCAGGTCAAGTAATCAGTCTTTCACTTTTCCCTTTATTTTCCCTTTTGTGGATCTGATGGGTATTGTTCCGAGTTTTCCCCATTGGTCTGCCATCATTTTTTCTCCCTCGCTTTTTAAATTATTTCTAGTAAGGTAATGAAGTGCAATCAGCACTCATTTCAAATAAGCTAATAATAGTTTAAATGGTTTTACTATTTCAAATTTTTAATGTTAGGCCCTGGGAGAACAACATGAAGCACGCGAGTTATTCATGATTAGTTATTTTAGTAATGAAATGCTCCAGTTGCAAGGCTGGGCGCCATAAGGTTGCTATTAGCCTTAGCAGCTCCAAAAAGTTGGAAAATATACTACATTGATGTCAAATCTACCTTATTGAATGATTATTTTGAGGAGTAGATTTACGTTGAACAACGTTTTGTTGCCAAGGGAGATGAAGACAAAGTCTAGCCACTCAAAGAGGCTTTGTATGGACTGAAACAAGCTCCAAGAGCTTGGAATTCAAGAATTGATGATCATTTGCTGAAGTTAGGATTCAAGAAGTGCCTTAATGAAGCTACATTGTACATTAAGGTTAATGGCAGCAGTGATCTATTGAATGTGTCATTGCATGTTGATGATCTCTTGGTGACATGTAGCAAATTAGCTCTTGTGGATGATTTTAAACATGCAATGCAGGAAGTTTTGAGATGACAGATATGGGGAAATGTCTTATTTTCTTGGAATGGAGATTCATCAAGATCGGCAAAGAATCTTCATTTGCCAAAGAAAATATGCAAATGAAATTCTAAATAAGTTTGGCATGGAAAATTGTGAACCAGTTAGCACTCCTTTAGCTCTAAATGAAAAGTTCATCAAGGAAGATGAAGCTGACAAAGTTGATGGTTCTGTTTATATAAGCCTGGTTGGTTGCTTATTGTATTTGACAGCAACAAGGCCAGAAATCATGTATGCTGTGAACTTACTTTCTAGGTTCATTCAAAGCCCTAGTGAGTTGCATTTCAAGGCTGCTAAAAGGGTGTTGAGATATGTCAAAGGATCCAATGAACTCAGATTCTAGTTCAAGAAGAACGGAAGTTCAAGACTGATTAGACTTACAGACAGTGACTGGGTTGCCTCTAATGAATACATGAAGAGAACCTCAGGCTATGTGTGAAGAGAACCTCAGGCTATGTGTTCTTCATTGGGTCAAAGATGTTTAGCTGGAACTCAAAGAAATAAGGAACAATGGCTCAATCAACAGCAGAAGCAGAGTACATAGCTGCTGCAGCTGCTGTTAATCAAGCAATCTGGTTAAGAACAATGGCTCAATCAACGGCAGAAGCACAGTACGTAGCTGCTGCGGTTGCTGTTAATCAAGCAATCTGGTTAAGTAAAATTCTGGTGGATTTAAGTCAGAAACAAGATGATCCATCAGAAATCTTCTATGGTAATTAGTCAGCAATTGGAATGGTCAAGAACCCTGTGTTTCATGGAAGAACTAAGCATATTAAGATTAAGTATCATTTTATTAGAGAAGCTGAAGCTAAGAGTGAAGTGAAGCTGATGCATTGCAAATCAGAAAATAAAATTGCAGATATTCTGACCGAGGCCTTTACAAAGGCAAGGTTTGAAACATTAAGGAAAAGTCTTGGTGTTTCCAGCAGAAATGCCTAGTTGTGTTAGCAGTTGAAGCAATAAGTAAAGCATTTTTGCTGCTACAACTTGTTTTGACATTTGGTTTTTATTTTATCAGACTATAGGTAGCATGATACATAAGTTTGAAGTGATTCACATTGTTAGGCAGATAAATTGTGTAGTAGTTAAAAGTTGTTAACCAAACATTTTGTATTTTGAAGCTTATAAATGATCAATGAAATGCAGCCTATGCTTTATGAGGCTTTTACAGCAACATTAGATCAGTTCCTTCATTTTTTTTCCTTGTCGTTCCTCAACGTATCCTTCAATTTGCACTGACTTGGTTGTAAAGTTTGAATATATTATAGGCAGCTGCCTTGATACTGTATGAACTATATGTGTATTTCTGATGCACATGACTAAGTAGTGTGACGAATTACAATAACAGCTATGATGAATGATTGGATGACTGCCAAGAGCTTATATCTGTTGGTAACAGGTGTGAAGTAATTTTCTCTTAAAATTGTACATTGAGATTCAGTAGAGTTCTTGTGGTAAAAATTTCATAAAAAGTGTTGTACATATCTTGATTTACTTCTTGCCTGAGATACATTTTTGCATATGATTATTTTATTCTATATCACTTGAGATGTCATCAAGAACGCAATAAGAGTAATGATTATCAGAGTTTATGCATTACCTTTGATCTATTTTGGATAAACCTGAGTGAGGTTCTGTCATCTATTTGCTGCAAATGCCATTGTGCTAATGGATCAGATCATGAAAACCTTGAGCTCAAGCAGCATTTTTACCACGTATCAGATGCTAACTGGTCCTAGGATTATCACAGACAAGAATATGCTCATGGTTTACAAGGGTACTAAGCCACAAACCCAAAATTGTCATTTTTAATTTGATCATAACATGATCATAAAATGGTTTCATAAATGCAATGCAATACTGATAACATGGTTGAACATGAGGCCTTAAAAAAAAAAAAAAGAATGGCCATCATTTATGGAAATAATGTGCATACAAGCAATGAATAGGAGAAAAAGAAAAGGAAAGGAAAAAGAGACATAAAACACCATATTTTGTATTTCTGTGCATTAGTTTGGCTTGGATTTTTTTGTTGCTCATAAGACATTTTATTTTCTGTTTTCAAACATATATAAGGGTATATATAATAAATCTTTTCTGCAGAAATATAGTAAATACTTTGGTCTTTTATTAAGTTTGCTTCCTCTGAAATTATTATCTTCATCTTGCACTTAATGCTTTGCCTGAGGTCGGACTCTTGTAGAAAATAAAGCAACCGCTACAATCAGATAGTTGGCGCTTGGGGTGTAGCATTGCTCTAATCAGTTAGTTAAATTAAAATAATATACGCAAACAGGTATGGAGAAATAATATAAAAAGATAATAAATGTTAGGAGAGGAATATTTATGCTATTCCTTTTAACAAACACAGGATATCTGTTATTGTTTGTTTTGCTTTAGAATAAGAGTGATAAATGGTTGTCTTTCAGGATGAGTATGATTCAGGCAGTTCATACTTCAGACATCATTGTTGAGTTGGTGATATTCCAGTAATAAATTCATAATAATTTGTCCTAATGTTTTCTCACCTTATTTATATTTTGTTCAAACTATCTAACAGTTTTGGTTATAAAAGGTTTTGCGCCTTATATATAACCCAATGCATGCTAGTATGTTCTTCTAAGAATAGAAGCTTGTGCTATAACTATTATTATGAAGTTTCCAAATATGCTGAATTGTGATTAATTTATTGCATTAATGATTTACATCTTGTCAGATTTTTTTTTCCATAATTAGACTTGGCAGATAGAGGTAAAGCATAGAAGAAATTGATTTGACAGATAATTAGCATGGAAATTTGACTAGGACCTTGTTTTGAACTTGAATGTTGATTGTTTTACAACTGAATAGTACCATTTCTAACTCATAATTGAATTATGAACCTGGAATCATAGAAAACATGTAAGTCATGGAATCATATAAACGTTTACTTACATATTTGAGGATCATTTTCCTTGTCATGACTTAGTACTGCCAAATTTTTGGCATTTTTAGATGTTGTCTCATAGGTATAGACTGCAAGGGGATGCTCTTTCCATTGTGAAATGTTCTGAGCATGAAATTAAATAAATTGTGATCATATTGTATGAAATTGAGAGAAATTTTTTTATATATAGTGTGTAATTGATGGCTGCAACAGTTACTTATCATTAATGAATAAATGAGCTCTTAAGTACAGATAATTAACAGATGTCAAGAGCAGGAAAGAGCTAAAGAGTGACAGAAAGAAGTCTCTTCCATTCTTATATTTCATTCCTTAATTGGTTTTACTTGCCTCAGTTACATTCACAAATCAAACTCAAAGTTCTATTGCATGAAACCATAATTTTTTTGAATACAAGTTGTTTTTTTTTTCTGCTCTGTCTGAAATACGAAAATGAGGATTAGAAAGAGATTTCCCTCATTTCCAATCATACCAAGCTCTGTCACTTCATCTAAAGAAGTTCCGTCTCAGCAAGAAGAAATGGAAGTATCCTCTTTTCCAGCACCTGCTGAAGGAACAGCTAGAGAAGCACCACTGAATGTGCACAATGATTGGCAGTCTATAAAGGCAGAAGCACACAGACTGCTTGGATGTTCATCCTATACCTTCAATTATCGCACCATCTGGCCCCATATGCAAGAGGAACATTCCAGCACCAACCCTGTCAGTAATGGAGAAACTGTCATTGAAATTCAGTCAACAAAAGAAAGGAACAAGAAGAGTCCAATGGAACAAGAAAATCCAAGCAAAATAATGGTTTTCTTTAGTGATTTCTAATCTTTTGGATCTTTTCATTATGCTCCGATATCATTTTTCTGTGTTTCACAAGTTTTCATTTCGTGGAATTCATTGTTCATAAGATGTTGATCTATTAAGGATCTTATAGGTCTGATAAGTTTCCATCATCAGTCTGTTCTGATCTTTATCTTCAATCATGCAACAGTTGTTTTTCTCCATCTATTCCTAAAACCTTTGCCTTTGAATCAACTTCTACCACTCGTTTTACTCCAATGGTTCAGTAATATAACATTTACTGATTTTGCTTTCATATGATTTTTTTTTTTTGTATAGGTCATTGAACAAGGAGGTGGGAATGCTGGAAAACAGATATTTGATCTCTTCTCTAATTCTCAAATGTAAAATTTTGATTCTCAACCTACTGAATTGATGTATCCAATGGTGAATTAGAGCTGATCATTTAAAGAAAACTATCCATATGCTTAGGATTTAAAGTGTATAAAAGCATGCATTTCATCTTAATACCATAGATTAACAAGCTTAATTTTCATCTTAATACCATAGATTAACAAGCTTAATTTTGATGATCCAGGAAGGGAAATTGCTCTGATACTGCGATTTTAAATACTAAGCGGACAACTTTTTCATCTTCTTTCTGTAAAGGTATGCTTTCTTTTCCAAGGCTTAAACTGGTTTTAAAATTCAGTTTTTTTTTGCGCCTCTAGGACGTTAGTAACCGTTAACTTTGCCATTTGCACATCAACGGGGAAAGTTGGTAGCAATGCTTAATTATGACATAATTTCCATTTAAAGCAGTCTAAAGAAAAATTCAAAATATTAGGTAAGCATAACCCTCCATGTCTGCTACCTTTGTCATCAAACAGTTCTGAAATATCTTCACTTTGATTCTTAACAGTGTTTTTTTTAGTTTATTTTCCATATTTTCCCCTCTATGTAGCTGCAAAAATAACCAAGGATAGTGGTAAGTGCTAAATGCAGTCTCACAAACAGAAAGCAGCTGGCTGTTTGTTGAGTGCTACTTTAATGGCCATGCAGTACCAAATTTATAACCTCTAAATCTCTTTAAGATATATTGCATCTTGAAGGAAGGAGAATGCATTTCAAAAGCGTGATTTTCCTTTCGGTACATCTTAGGTATGAGTTTTCAGTTTTTCACACGCTATTAACATTCAGAAGACTTACAAAATGATTGCTTGCTTTAAGTAACATAAAGAATTTACATGAATGCTAAACATTATGATACATATATACATTATATATATGTATTCATGTTTAGACTTATTTATCACTTTTTCATCTTAACTTTTATAGATCAGCATATTAAACAAACAAGATCAGATTCCCTGTATAGTGAGGAATCATTAGTAGGTTAACATCTGTTTTAATAGATTCTGACTTTTGGTCTCATATCAGTACATGCTGTTATATCAGACAAGATTTGCTTCCATTTCCTCATGAATGCTTTCATGCATGGAGCTACTGCTTGAAGTTTCAGAATCTGTAATGTGTAAAAAAGATCAGGGTATTATACAGTCAAATAGAAAAGATGCCTTAGGGTAGATTTGCAAACTGTATGTCCAATTTGCATTGGTTATGGCTAC